CGGGGCGGGGCCTTGGGCACCCGGCGCAGGGCGCGGCCTCGACCTCGCGGGGCCAGAACCGTTAAACCGATGGCACGCGCTCCCCTGGGGTGCGGGGAGGGCGCGACGCCTCGGGGAGCCGTGCGGCGTGAGGAAAACGCCGGGAGTGGCCGCTCCCAGGTGCTGCGGGCTCGCCCTGGGTGGGGCGCGCCCGCATGAACAGCCTTCCGTACCCCAGTCGGCGGCGCTGACTGCCCAAGCACTGGGGAGGCGTCAGGCGCCGTCTGCGGCGGGCTCCAGGCAGCGTCTGTGAGCGAGGCCGCCTCTGTGAGCGAGGCCGCCGCGCGCTGACGACCGAGTCCGTCCCCGTCAGAGCGGCCCGCGGGCCAGGGGGTGCGGGCGGCTCCCCGCGCGGCGCGGGGAAGTCTGGCGGGATTGGGGCTGTCGGGAAGTGAGGAGGTTGAGAAAAGTTGGCATCCGTTAGGAATATATTCACGAATGGCCGAGCTAAAAGGAACCAGATTTCGGTGGAAGTTACTCCGTCCTAATCCGAATTGGAGATTTTAAGTCTCGCCGCCAATTCCCTTTACTCCTTTTTGCACTTAGTCTTTGAGCTCAAGGCCGGGAAGGCCACGTGCGTTAGTGGCAAGCTGTGTGTTAAGTACTGTGGTTGGAGACGTTCAGGTTGGGAGTAGGGTACCAGGGAAGCCCACATTGACCTTTAGTTCGAAATGAGACTTTTCAGAGCGGCTGATACTCCTTTTATTGGTGACTGAGGGAGGAGGAAAGCGGTAAAGGGGAGGGGAGGGGGGATGAGTGAAACTTGTCTACCGTGAAGTAGGTGGAATTGGGGGAGACAATTGTAGGAAAATGAAACAGAGATGGACACGAATCTGACATTTTTTATAGTTTGTCTTGGGAGTTTTTAAAGAACATAAAACCGGATAGCAAAATTGAATATTTGAAAGGTCACAAAGACAGCAGTGTAAAGGAGTGGAGTGGACCACATAGCAATATTAAACAGGCCTCAGGAAGGCTTCCTTGAATGCCTTTGTATCAATTCCAGAAATATGTCTGAGATAACTAGTTAGGAGGTCAGTGTTTGTGAGAGATGTTGCTGAGCTAAAAATCAGTTTAGTGAAATTGGATGGAAGGGACTAATCAGAGGACAATCAAGGATGACAGTTTTCAACTTGGGAAATGAGGTGGTGTCCGTGATACCAAGGCAAGAATTCAAGAGGTAGAATAGCTTTATGGGAGAAAATGCTAAGTTCAGTCTGGGACTTATAAATGAAATAAACGGATACTTAAGTTGAGGTTTCCAAAAAGTTAATATATATGTTCAATATAAAACATCCATACAGATATGTACATATACAACATATTCTTACATATATGTCATAGGCATATTATAGAAATGCTGAAAATGAGATCAGGGATGCTGATTAAGAAAACAGGTATTACAAAAGGGAGTATTTAGAACTCAAAAAGGTGAATAACCTCCATGGAAACTTTAAAGGTCAAGAAAGTGTCAGGAATGGGGTAACTGATGAAAGAATGTGTCTCTGGAAAGTGATAATCTAGATATCAGACTAAAGGCAATATAGGAAGATGTGTTCAAAGAGAATTGTAGGAATTAATGACCTGGGGTGAGAAGAAAAAAAAGCATCGAACTGATGTAAAACCAGTATGGCTGAGCTATTGTATGCAGGAAGAGAAATGTGAAAGATGAGTTTGAAGTGATGGGAAGAATTGAAATCATTTAGTGTTTTGTAGGCTGAATTTTATTATAATAATAAAGGGATGCATTCGTTAAAGGATTTAAGTGGAGCAGGGATATAACAGGATTTACCATTTTAAGAAGTGTGGAGTTTTATAAACAGAGCCATGCAGTGAACTTACTGTTAGTAGTTAGTGTAGAAATGGCTTCCAGCTGATAAAATGACTCTCACCCACTGAGACAACTCATCTGGCATTCAAGATTAAAACAGCAGGATCAAAGATGGTATCATGGTATGAACATGTCCTCTGGTGTGAGGCAACAGAAATCTGTGAATAGTTCCATCAATAAATACTTCCAACCCCCAGATGTAGAAAATTTTAAGTGCAGGATTCAGAGCTCACCCAAAGTGTTCTTTTCCTAGAATATATTTAACAATGCAACATATACAACATATGCAATTATATAATTATACAATACAATTACATGGTACATATTACTATGTGAAATCATTACAACCAAAAAAAGTGAATTGGAAGAAAAATTTTCAACCAAAATCAATCTATTGAAAGAGATAATTTTAGGTAGAAGTAATGGACGTCTTCATTTTTGGATATTTAATTGATGAGGAATGAACCATAAAACCCATTGAACCTTTTTAAAAAAAAAATACTGATTTAGCATGAAATGTTAGCATCTACAAGGTTCATCTACTACTCAAATTGCTACAACAAAAACTTTACAACAGGTTAATGAGTAATTTTAAAAGTAAGGTGAGTCACTATCCCAAAAACTTAAAATGTCTTGAAATCATAGAGCCCACATAAGAAACTCATGACAAGTTAAAATTTTTTTAAATTGCATACTACTATGTTATTGCTACCAAATAAATTATGAAAGTGAAATTAACTTTTCTAAACTTTCAGTAAAAGTAAACTGATTACATGGAGAAAATGCCAAATAATTTATTCTCACCAGAGAAAAAACAGTACATATTTGTTGTCAAGTGAAGCTTAAAAATATGTGGAAAATAAGGGAAAGTTCAGATAATTTAGAAAAAAAAAACCAATTTCTGGATATTTGATGTTGATGGTATTTATTAGCTTTTTAAGATTTGTACTTTGTCATTGCATTGTTTTCTCATTCTAAGTTAATACTATTTTAGTTCAAAAAGTTTGAAGAATTGATTAAGGAAAAGCAAGAATGGAGATAAGAATATCAGAGGGTAATTTTTATTTAATGCATCTTGTTACTTTTAAGTAACTATTTTCATATTTAAATCATCACAATACCTTCCATTTATTTAATATAATGTGTATGAGCACAGACTGGTTACCTGTTCTCATGGTATATACTGTCTACTGAAGGTGTATGCAAACAGGCAATTCCAATTTAATAAACTAAGATAAATACACTCACAGTGTGCATTTATGCCAGGGTGGCTGAATCACTTGAATATCTGAAGAGTCAGGAAAAGCTAAAGAGATAGTGTTTTCTGCCGTTTGCCTGTATTCTGTCTCTCATTTACTTAATGCACCATTTACAAAGCATGTTATGGAGGACACACACACCATTATTCCAACATTGCCTTAAAGTACAAAACATTTGGTTCTATTCAACTCAGCTAAGCAAAAAAATTCTTTTGAAGACCTATGTTTGAAGACCTATGCCAAGTACTGAGGATACAAGAACAAGCACAAATAAGACTAGTAGGACTGACACATGCTTAGCAAGAAGGGGATGAGTAGCTATAAATTAGTAAGTAAAATAGAAGGTAGTATATGTAATAGGAGTGCATACATGTAATGGAAGTAGTAGAAGAAAAGAATTATGTTTTGGGATGGGGCGGGGGAAGAGAAGCGATCATGGATGGGCAGGAGAGCTAATCCCTGAGCAGGATTTTCAAGAATAAAAAGGATTTTATCCCACAGACAAAGATTTTCTTTAGAGGCGGGAGGATATGTCCAAAGAATATATAAATGATACTGCAATCAACACCAAAAAAAAAAAAATCAGTACTACAGAAACACAAAATACAAGGATACCGCCTGGTAGTTACATTAGGCTTAAGGAGGATGAAAGGTCTGTGTAAGACATAGAGAAACATTGAAAGATAAGCTAAGATAGTATCATATACACATTTGAAGAAGAATCACATAAGTAACAATGTTGAAAATGGATTGAGGGGAGGGACAGGCACCAGACAAAGTGATGCAGAGGGACTAGTTCACAGGCTTTTACAGTAACCCAGATAATGTTGATAAAAATCAGAAACAAGGCAGGTAAGGGCTATGAAGAAATACATGTGTACATAATGAGAAAGAAAAGATAAGGAGTTGAGAATGAGAAGTGAAAATTTACATGGGCAGTCAAGTGGACCTCAGAAATAATGAAAGATTTTGTCATTTTCCTAAGGAAGCATGAGGGGATGGGATGACCCTAGGGAAGGTATAAATATAAGAATAGGTGAAATAACTTAACCATAATCAGAGGAAGCATGGTAAGGGATTTTAGGACTTTCAGATTTCCAAATAGTATCTTAGGGAACTTGCAGAGAGCTAATGACAGCTAAGCAAAAATTAAGGAGTAGTTGAAGGTGAACATCAAAAACTGTAGTGGGGCCCTCGCTGGTGGAACAAAGGGTTAAAGTGCAGCAATATGAAGCTACCCACAGCCACTGCAACACGAGTCTGATCCCCAGGCAGGGAGCTGACCCACATAGCCTGGCAGACCTCTCCTGTGCCACCCGCTGCTACCCTCAGCAGTGTATCTCAGTACATCTGTCTGCTCTGCTCCTTACTCTGTCTCTGGTGAATCCTCTCACTGCCCCCTACCCCAACATCTCTGAATTGTACCCCAGTTCTTATATGCATAAATAAATCTTAATCTGTAGTAGCATTACTCTGAGGAATTCATTGGTAACTTTTAGAGATAACTGGAAAAATAAAAAACTGGAAATGTTGAAGATGATATTCAGAGACAGTGAGAACTTAAGAATAGAAGAGCTGTGCATTCAGAGTAGCTATCTGAGTGATGTTATGGTTCCTAAGTCTCAGCACAGCCTGCAGGTAAAGGTGAACAGCTAACAGCAGAAGTGGGGTGAAGATGAAGGTCACTAGACTTGAGGGAATCAAAGAACCTCAACCAGCAAATT